TCCTGAAAGAAGATAAAATATTTCTTCGCTTGTTTTAGGCGTCTTATCGTTTCTTTGATTGATCTATCAATTCACGCATAACGGATACTAATGAAAACTGCGAAATATTTGCTAAGTTCTAGGCATCACATATTAAACCTAAGTTTCTTCTACTCGGAAAATCTTGATCTAAATAAAATGAGGTGTACAGGCTTGTTTTTGCCATTTCTGAGCAGTCTCAAGCACACTTTATCAGTGCATTCTGGTTTTTTAAGAAACAACATCTGTGCTTCTTAGTTCGCAACAAATTAGTTTTTGTAGTCGTTGCAACTGCGTGAGAGCTCGAAAAGTGTGCAAGATATACAAACGTCAAGCTCAGAACAACATTCAATCATTTCAATAATTCTGGGATCAAGGTTTTTGATTCTTCCTGTGAATTCTTTAAACAAGAGACTATTTCATCAAAAGTCGAGTTTACACAAGTAAAAAACCTCCGTAAGTTAAGCTTCTGTTAACAGAAACGCTAGGCAGCCTCGACTAGCTTGAACAGCTTGATGGCAGATATGTTGCGACCAGTATCATGTCAATCATCCATGCACTCCAGCGCCTTCGTAACTTAGAACACACGGAGGCAAAAACTAACTATACTTACTAGAGGAAATACAATTGTAAAATAGAAGGCAACAAAAGTGGTGACAGAAGAACTCAGTCCTAACGTACAAATCCTCTCAGAACACTCAACCATTGTAATGCCTTTTGGGGAAATTTATATCCTTCGATTCTCCGCGGGTTTACCGTTTGGTGGGCAGCATGAACTATTTTATTATACGATATCATCGGACAGAAATGCTTCACACAGAACAACGACTGATCATTTGTTTAACTCAGGGGCCATTTGCAAAACAAGCGTAACTTAAAGGCAGATATTTCGTGATAAAGTACAGTATTGAGCATGAAAGAGGACAAGATAACGCTTCGATTTTCACCTGTACTAGCTGTACGATAGCCTTTACGGCAGCCGAATGCAGCTCCCACTTCAGTGGCAACTTTATCCATGTTTCTTCCTCAGGATCGTAATAGCAATGAACTCTAACCCGATTCTAATGCAGAGGGAGAAGATGTTACTCAGAATTTCAATTACCTCGAACAGTTGTGCTTGAACTTTGCCTTTTCCGGGAATTTCGATAAACTCTACTCCGTCGTTTTCCGCCAAATAGTATGCTGGTACTTCATTCCTCTGAAAGAAGACGTTTTTATACTGAGATACAAACTTCCACAATGAGTATTGGTAAATATCTTGAAGTGAGACCTCGGTCTCGTGCCATTTTGGTACCGTGAATGAAAATTGTCTTGATTGGTCACCCTAACTGCTATTTGTTTATCCGACTTTCAAATGTTATCTATAAAAATGACATATCGGCTGTTATATGAGGGCAGTGGTTTTTTAAAAATACAGCGGACATCGCATTAAGTTACGGTATGCTCCCTACGGAATCGTCGACGAACTAGACATCATGAATCCGTAGTCGCTCGGCTATGAAAGTGCCTATACTATGCAATTATATACTCCGCTTAAAGTTTATTAATGAGCTTGATAACAAAAAGAAACTCAATAACGAAGTAAAAACATTCTTAAATTACGTTGTCAAGGGCTAGGACGACAGACGTTTGCATCTGTTTAAGAGATTGCCAATGCTGACGTCCTTAAAAAATAAATAAATAGGAGTACATGATTAATTTTTGCTAACATACTGTCTCGTCCGAAAATTTCAAGACAACAGTTTATCAAGTACGCCTGATGCAGTGGTATTCGAATATTACTGTCAAATTTCTTACGGATCCTGTGATATTTTGGAAAAATAACGTGAAGCCGGCATTGCCTTTACAGCACTCCAACTTTCTGAGGCATTTGTCGTGAACAGTAAAGAAAATTATAATTGACGTTCCCAAAGGCCAAAAAATCTTCAAGCCTAACAACTCACGGTTAATAAGGAAAAAGCACTACAATGAAGTTGTATACAGGTTTCCAGCGATACCTTGGAAGCGTTCATATACTAATTACTCACTAATTTAATGTACACAATTGGTGAATACATTCTGGTAGTATAACACAGCTACATTACAGGTAAAACGTGAACTAACCTAAAATAATTATTCATTTAGTTGTTTTAAGAGACCTACAGGGATCTTTTTTAGCGTACTGCAAATCTTCAAACGCGAAATTATATTTTTTACATGTTATATGCCTTTTCATACGTTGAATCGTAGGACCAAAAATGACTTAGGTCAGACATAGTCTTTATAGGTCTTCGTATATGCATGCATAACTGAATAAATAGTTATGTAACACAGTGCAAAATACTTGTCTAAAGTGCCTGAAATATTCCTTCTACTGTCAACCTCACAAATGTGCAGCAGGTTTTGGCTAAGTCTGCATAGGTGGTTTTTAGTCAACAGCGGACCTCTGCCCCAAGTTGCTTCAAAATAGAACAAGGAAAACAATTCCTGGTTTTTATGAGTTCAGCTTTATAATTTTCCATTTTGTGCCTATTTTCACTTATTTGCCCATGTACAAGTTGGTACATGAGGCTAGAAACTCTTGAAGGATTTACATCATTTTTGGTCCTCACAAAACGATTTGCATGGGAACAGACACAGTGACTGGATCTAAATCTGCGTGTTAGGCTCCTAAAAGAGTCTCAGGTTTACCATGGATGAAGTTTCCATAATTGCCTAATT